TGAGGTTTCCCCTCAGATTCACCTGTGGAGCAACAGCAGATACTTCTCTGCAGGGAACATAAGGAGCTTCTTATCCCTGACTACCTCATAAAGATTCTGTAGCAGTTTTTAGTTAATAAATGTATCTAGGGAAAGAGGGGAGAATATCTGTCCATCTCCACAACAATCCCCCGGAGTGAAGCTTTCAGCAGATGACAGCAGGGTTCACAGACCACAGTGGGTATTTTCTTATAGTCCCCAGTGTTATTGATGCTCTGTAAATGGGTATCGGTGCTGTTCTGGGTGGTTTCAGTCAGTGCTGCAGAATCTTCCAGCTATCCACACCTCACACCAAATGTGATGCTTCCAATTAACACACACCTCTTACGTTTCTTGTAAAAATAAATAAATGAAATCTGTTGTACTAATCACATGTCAAATATAAAGAGTCTCTGCTCTCTGTAGTCCTATTAAGTTTGATTGCACCACAAAGAGACCACAAACCTATCCACTGACTGCTTTTGTTTTTGCCTTCTCTTCTTCTAACACACAGAGAGGTCAAAGGGTACACGTTTTATGCAAGATTTTAAGTAACATGTCTTTTTGTTTTGTTTTGTTTTTTGCCTGTCCCATTTGGTTCTTTAGCCGTCAGAATTGTTGTCTGAACGCCAACAAAGATACCCAACGGATTTACTTTAACAAGTGGATCATCACGACCTTGCGGTATTGGTCCATTTGATTGACCATTGTTGTTATTATTTATTTTATTTTATTTTATTTTCAGTTGTTGCAAAAGGGACAGACATGGCTAGGGGATAGGAAAGGGAAAACAGAGGAAGGAAAAGAAAAACAGAGGGGAAGAGGGAAAGTGAGAAAGGACACTTAAAAAGAAAAAAGATCTCCCGGATCACCTGTTGAGAGAAAAAAAGAGAAAACAAGGGGAAAAAAAGAGAGCAGCATAATAAGCACAACACCATCGCATTAATCTAGCTAAGTATAAATAGCAGTAAATACTAAATATTGAGTGTTGTTGTGCAGCACACAGGACCGACAGCGCACAATGTGCTTTGAGGTAGCAGCCAAGAAAGGTGTGGTTTGTGTCTATGAACAGTGAACACCAGTGAACACCTGGGTGGATGAGTGCGCTTGTATTAAAGGTTTCTCCATGTAACGATCTGCTAGAGGGTGTAGGGAGCCATAGCCCCGTCCCCCAGGGCATGAAGCAGGCATGGAGGAGATGTCTGAGTAACATGTTTGATGATAAGCTTTTGACTTCAAAACGTTGGGTTGAATATTAGTTATTATTGTAATTAATTATTATTAATCTTTTAGATGTCAGCACGACATAGTGCTGAGTGCAATTTAAAAACACACTGAAAGTGAATCTGTAGATTGCCCACAAGGAAAATCTTGGTATCCCTCAGAAAGCTTCTAGGGTATAAGTGTGATTTTAAAAAATAATGAATGAAATCAGAATTTAGAGATTTCAGAAAATGTTCTCTTTCTCATAATTTCCTGAGCATTTCACACTCGGCATGAACCTAGAAGTACCTGAAAGCTCTATAAGCATACAAGTAAATGCACATTAGAGACTGCTTTAGACTATTGTTACACAGTGAAAACGAAATGAAAAATGAAAACTACTCAGTGGTACATCTGACAGTATTAAAGGTTATTAATAGTTCTACGGGAGTCACTATAGAATAGCATTAATAGGCATAATCACACCTGTACAAGATGATAGATTTTCCTCAGATTAGAAAGGATGGGATTTAAGATTTTCTGGAGCAGGCTGACTGAGCATAATAGTTTGAAAGCTCCACTAATGAATCTAGCTGCATGTAGAAGGTTAAGAATTATTTAAGTACAGATTTGTAGTGCTAAAATGAAATGATTTCCTTTCATTTCTAATACACAGACATTAAAATAGACAGTACTGTGCAGTCCTGTACAGTTTTTTGCTATTTTGTTAGGAAATTGGGAAATAGGGGAACT